CCAAAAATCAAATTAGAGGAGTCGAAGTTCTGTAAGTGGAATGCGACTATGCAAACGAGTTTGAAGGGGTTTTGGAGAAGATGGATGCGATCGACAGAGATGTATTGCAGGCGACGACAGCAAGAAGGCAGTGCCCATTGACACCAAGATTTGTAATTTTTTTTAGGTTTTCAAAGTCACTTTTCCTAAATCTTCTATATTTCCCCGGAACTTATATCAAGTTTTAATGATTTATCTTGTCCGTTATATTTATAGAAAAGATTTGGTATTGTAACCGCCTCTTGAATCAATGTTCCTAAATCTTTTATAAGTTTTAACTTTTAAGAGCTAGAAATAGATTGTTATTGATAAATTTTAAATATTAAAATTTTGTATTTGTTTTTGTTTAGTGTCCAAAGGGTGTCCAATTTGTGATTCCCACAGGTATCCCCTCGTATTTACCATATGGCATGTATATAAAATTTCAAAATTAGGGGTGTCCAAGGACACCCTTAAGATACATGTAGGATCGCACCTGCTACTAACACGGGCATTATCTTATTTCAACACATTACTATCTTCCATCAATTATTTACCTTTCAAAACTATGTGTCTGACCTAGGTTTCTTCTCTTTATCCTTGCTAGTTGCTAGTCCCCATAATAGTCATGAACCTTGATATATGTTGTTTTATAAAAAGTCAGGTTTTTCACTTATGAGCTCATTCAAATCCATAATAAAAAATATATATTATTGCAATATGAAAATAAGGCATGAATTACACTTTAAGAAAACCAATTTCAATATCAATAAAAAAATAAGGCTAATTCAAATCTCTGACCTAGATATCTTCTCTTTACCTTTGCTAGTTGCTAGTCCCCATAAAAGTCATGAACCCTGATACACGTTTTATAAAAAGTCAGGCTTTTCACCGATGAGCTCATTCAAATCCATAATAAAAAAATATATTATTGCAATATGAAACTCTATGTCTGAAAGATAAGAATTCAACTAAATAGATGAATATCGACATGTGGATTAAAAAACTTTTACTAAAATCTCAAAGTTTTCTCTATTGAAAGCAAAATAATAAAATATATATTCAGCTTTACAAACCTACTAACACGGGCATTACCTTATTTCAACACATTACTATCTTCTATCAATTATTTACCTTTCAAAACTATGTGTCTGACCTAGGGATCTTCTCTTTACCCTTGCTAGTTGCTAGTCCCCATAAAAGTCATGAACTCTGATATACGTTTTATAAAAAATCAGGCTTTTCACCGATGAGCTCATTCAAATCCATAATCAATAGTTTCCATGTTCTAAATATATTGTCAGTACATCACAAACTCATGTTAATGGAAATAGCATTCATTTCAAGTAAAACATTTTATAAAATGATCGTATTAAACTTTTCAAGTAAAACATTTTATAAAATGATCGTATTAAACTTTCCACGTATGCTATTATTGAATAGAAATACAATATTAATATTTTGTCCCATATACTTTCCTTAAGTCGCTAAGTATGCCAAAATAATATCATTGATGTCAAATCTTATTAAGATGTATAACTCTCACAAAAATCATAATTTTGACGTGTACGTAGTTTGACAAAATAAAACATGCCACATTCCCCACCTCATACAAATGGCATATCTCTCATCTCCTGGATAGTTCCCAATGTGATTACTCGATATAAACGGTTAAATCTGCGTCTAGGCTTACCAACCGAATAAGCATAAGCTATAACATAAATAATAATATTTTCATAATAAGGCTTTAGTAACTGCTTCCTAACATGTTGCTCTAATATCAAAATGAAGACCGATCAAATAAACATAAATGGAGATCGATCAAATAAACATAAGTTATATAATAACGTACTATTAATCATTTTAAAAAAAAAAAAAAAGAAGTTTGAAAGGATAAAAAAACAATGTGACTAAAAATTACATCAATGTGATTGTAAAAAATAAAAATGGTTTATCAACTCATAGTACGTATAGTAGGATTTGAAATCATAAATTATAAAGTATTAGTACCATAAAGAAAATACCTCAAAAAACTCTAGCTCCTTCCTTTATGATACTTTATTTTCCTGCACGTGTCTTGACGTTATAGAAATATTTGAGAAATGTTATGCTCTTGAGAGTATTTTTTATTTTGAAATGAAATGATATGAATTCCTTTAGCTTCTGTTTATTGTATAAGTGTCTTGCAATGAATATTTGTTCACTAAGCTTCACAACTTGTAAATTTATAAGAATTCGACACATGTATTTTTTGACTTTATCCTTGAAAATTTTGACACCTATGTACTACCTTAGTCATGCTTATAGATTTTTATCAATTATTAAATAAATTTTTATTAATTATTAAAGAAACAAATCATTAAAGGCTTACAAATCAAAACTAATATGCTTAGTCATGGCTTTTAAATAGGTCTATGTCACCATTATGTCATCTTTTGTTATCAAAGATTTAAATTTGTTCCTCAAAACCGATTCATTCTCACCCCTAAGGCCCCTCAGTGCACATGATACTGCACACCACAGTATGTGAGATGGAACTATGTTGTGCGGTAAACACTTCACTAACCCACCTTGCTCCACTGTGGTAAGTTGTCGTGCGTTATGGTTTCACTGCATTGTATGTGCATAAATATGTGTATTGCGGTGGGTGTCACCTAGTAGGGTGAAGGAAAAAATAAAGTGGCAATGCAAAAATATAGTATGTGTGGTAAGGTTGTTAAAAGCACGATCTTGATTATAATTACGAACCTAGATATGAAGTTCATACATATGTAAGTGGAAATGGATATTCTAAAACGATACATATGCTTTATTGTCAAAAGTCATTAAAGTTGATCATGAAGCTCATATAGTTTATGTATGGATGATTTGGTGTAAAGGGGTGTGGGAGAGGATGATTTTTACACGCTTATTCAAGAACTCAATTCCATCCGAATCATCATCAAGCGGACAAAAAAATGTTGGATATTAGAATATTCTATTAGGATTAAAGATGCAATAAAAACACGAAGAACTATCATATTCACTTGAATTATTATCTAGATGATGTGATTTATTATTTATAAATATAAGATGACAATAACATTTTTGTTAAGGGATAGCATTTTCATTTTGTAAATTGAACTATCATATCCACGTGAATCGAAACTCTTGTTTCCACTTGTTTGATAAGCATAGCTTCCTTGGAAGGAGATCGAAATTGGTTCAAGATCTACCTTTTTTTTCTAAACAATTCAATACCCAAATAACCTCTTTATTTTTAGGCAAACTTTGAGCTTCCAATAAGACCATTATATATATATTTCTTTATAATAGATTATACCATGTCGAAAATCCAAACATTCCAACTTCAACAAACTCCATATATATATATTAAAATTCAGTAATAAATCAAAAACACAAATGATCTCTCATCACTCACACAAGAGAATCATCATAAAAACATCCTTCAAATCAACTCATCAACCTCAATATCCTTCCATTTCACCATCGCAAGCGTATGTCGGCCCCCACACGCCACATATGTAGCACACCAACGCCCCAATTCACCATCTTTTGGCGACTTTAAATCAATCGGCACTTCACACGGATGTCCAGTTGTCACCTTTCTACCATACCCC